ATTTTTGCCTAAAATAAAAACCAACGCCCTTAATATTAAAGGCGGCTCTATTTGTATTTTATAGTCTAATTTACTTTAAATTATAAAATATTTTTTCGTCCACGTTGTTGGTTAAAATAAATATTGCTGACGCAGTAGGAGTATCTTGACCGGAAAAGACTTTTTTCTCCCCAAAATCAAAATAAATATTCCTGTTGCTCCACAAAAATCTCTCATCTCAGTTTCTCCTTCACATCTCTCTGTTTTCTCTTCCGTTTTGGTGGAACTCCGATCGGGGAGAGACATGGGTTCGGTCGTTTTGACGACGGGGTTGAGCGTGTTGGCCGGAGCTGTATTGGTCAAATCGGTGATGGACCAGAAACCCATGGCCGGGCCGATTCCAAGATGCCCCACTTGTAACGGGACCGGACGGGTCTCATGCCTCTGCTCACGGTGGTCCGATGGAGATGTTGGGTGCCGAACCTGTGCTGGGTCAGGTCGAATGGCATGTAGCAGCTGTGGCGGGTCTGGGATGGGGCGGCCGATCCCGGTTCGGCTTTCTGTGCGGCCACCGAGTCGGAGCTCCTAACTGGGTTTGTTGTAGAATTCCCACTCTCTCTCACATGGATTTTAATTGGTTTTTTTGGTTGAAATTTGATTATGTAATACAATAGGGGGGAAGACAGATGGGAGAATAGGAATCTGTAATCTTACCTATATTCAAAATTTGTTATAAAATCATGCAATTTATATGTTTTGGGTTGTTTGCTTCATTTCTTAAAGGGGAATTTACCAATTTATGGTTTGTCTTGTGTTGTGTTGTTCTAAAGTCTAATTTGTTCATTTCATTCATTGCTCTTGCTAACCAAGAAATTACTTAAAGGAACTCTGGCTCATTAGGCAGCTAATAGCCTAATATTAAGAAATTTTGGGTGGTTTTGTTCGTCCTCATAAAGATATCAAATTTTACCGTCCATTGCTTGTTCCAGTGCTAGCGATAGAGTTAGCTGTGCTTTTACTACAAATAAAGGTTTCAATTTTTAGTATCTACCCAAAAACATAAAAATATTATGTTTTTTAACTTTTATATTTTTACTAATTAAGGATTAAGGATTAATTAAGAATGTAAACTTTTGTAAGTAACTAAACAAGGATGTGTGCTTTATGTTTTTACTACCAAGAATTAATTAGATGTTCCATAATATTGAGATTTGATATTGAGAGTATGTTTTTATGAACATTCAGTTAATCTTTATGTAATAAAAATGCAAAATAGATATCCTTCATTAATTAGATCCTTAATTCTTGATTTGAAGTCTCTGCACCACTTAAAGCAATGCTTCCTTTCAGAAACTTTTTTTTGGTAAAAGTTTCAGTTAAACTCAACACTTGCATAGCTTTTGTATTAGTTCTGTTTAAAATCTTTTTGCTGAAGTAATGAATCATGTATATTATATTAAATAAATAATAAAAAATTTTAAAAATCAATAAAGATGATCAAATTCAAACCCTTAACAGTTCGGTTTATAAAATCGGAAGGAAGGAAAGAAGAGAAGAATTTTTTTGTCAAATTAAATTGTAATATTAATTAGTATTATAATTTAATTAATTATAATTAATATTTTTCCTTCCTTTCTTTTTATTTTTTAAAAATTAAATATACGCTAACCATAAAAATGTAAAAGTCACAAATTTGAAATTTTAGATTTCATGCCTTTTGAAGTTGAAAAGTTTTTGGAAAAATCATAGTAGAGATAAAGCTTTTGAGGATTAGTTTATGGTTTTTCTCTTTGGTGTTTTGTAGAAAAATAATGATACGCAAGATGACTCAGGAAGACGAAATCATCAGTCAAATCTGAATTGACATATTATTTCAGCAAACAAAAGAGGCTAGGAATAAGTAATTCATGAGACCCAAAGGTTGTTCAACAGTGCATGGAAATGTGCATTAACTTGACGTTTCAATGTTTGACCAGTCCAGCCACCCGGCCCCCACCAACTGGGATTTCAGGGGCTGTTGAATTAACTAGAAGCTTCCGTTGTCTTGAACAATTGTCCACTACACAAATAAATAATATGTTCAACAGTGCATGGAAATGTGCATTAACTTGACGTTTCAATGTTTGACCACGTCCAACCACGTCCAGCCACCCCCCCACTGACTGGCATTTCGGGGGCTGTTGAATTAACTAGAAGCTTCCATTGTCTTGAACAATTGTCCACGACACAAATAAATAATATATTACACTCTTCTCATTTGAGAAAAGGGTTCATGATGTAATGCCAAAAGGAGGAATTCTTCGTTATTGAATTGAATGGTTATGGTTTGAGTTGACTCGAATCAGTCAAGTGTGGCTAGCTAGCGGTAGTCTATTGAGCACATTTAAAATGATTCTGCCAATGATTATGACAGGATTTGTTGGGAGGAAGATCAAATTTTTGACATAGAAAAGTGAAAGAATAAAGCTCCAATAGTATTTAGCAAGGACAAAAACGAAATTTAAAAAGGTTGTTCTTCATAATTAGTGAATATTTTTAATTTTCTTTGTAAAAAAACTTAAAAATAATTAAAAATAAAAAAATTAAATGTTTTTATAATTGTAAATCGCATCAAATTAAAAAAAATAAAAATTAAATCTAATTACTCAATAGTTTGCTGCGGATCAAGAATAAAGTTTTCATCATTGATTCAATAAAAAAAACTAAACAGTACATAATTGAATATTTTAAAGCAATTTTAAGTAAGTAAAGAAAATAATTTAGGATTTTTCAACATATGAGGAGGGGTAAGAGAGAAAAGAGGAGATGTGTTAAAAATTTATATATATTTTTTGTCAAAATTTTAAAATTTTTTTACCAATCACAAATTTTTCGAAATTAAAAAATATTTTTTTACATTTAATAAAATCACTAGCTATGAGTTTAAATTTTACTATTGAAATTAATATAATTTTTTATATCAACTAATGATGATTATTATCATAAAAGTTAGAAATATTAGTTGAAACAAATTAAAATTTTTTTAAAAATTATATCTTACATTAAAAAGATTGATGACATGTGATAGAATTTATATTTAAAATTTTCGAAGATTTAAGGTTGTATTGAATTTTTTTTCAAAAGTTCAAGGAGGCCACCGCCTCGGTCCACACGTAGCTCTAAACCCTGTTCTAGTATTTTAGAAGATTTTTATCTCCAAACCTATACTTATAGAGTTTTGAGGTTTAAGAAAGTAATTATATTACACTTGGTTTTGAGACCCTATGCTTATATGTCTTGGCCATACAAGATTTTCGCACTTTAATAATCACACCTTTTATGATTTCCATCTCAGACAATACGGTGCTGGTGCATAAATAAAAACATTTTGTTAGGACCTGAATTTATACCCATGGCATCTAAATCATACAAAGATATTTGTACACATACGCATGAGGTTGTAACATTACGCACATCTTTGGAATTCCTTCCTCGGACCAACGACTTCTTCAATATTCCCTCCAACATCTGACCTCAATCCCCATTGCTTCTGCCTCACTTAGGGGAGAATGCCTGTACGAAATCATCACAACTGTTAAATGCAAGATTTTGCAGTGCTAAACATGAAGAATCCGAACATGGTGGGTTGTTAAACTCAACAGCAAAAATGGTGGCATGGCCGGGGAGGACGAGGTGGGCGAAGAGGTTGTCAATGGGTCCGGTACCGGTATAGATGTGTTGGAACCACGCACCCATCACGCTAACATAGCCAACCTCCCGTTCTTAATCTCCTTTGTCCTCAACTCCTTCACCTTCTCCGGGGACCCGCTTCCCCACCCCAGAGGGTCGAACCACAGCCTACCGGGGTACCCAACATCAGTCCCTGGGAGGTTGTTGTCGGGGAAGATTGAGTCTGTGTTTACGCATCCCGACTTGATGATATCAGCCTACCGTCTCCCCTCAGCCCAACCAATGAAGATGAGCTCGACTATAAACAGAGTGGTGGTGTCAGCGAAAGTATTCCTGCTCCCCGGTGGTGTACCAGGCAGGGGTGTTGAGAATTCAGATTTTCGTCAGGAATTCCGGGATGAAAACCCCGGTCGCACTCAGCGTTGCCCATCTGCAGTGCACTAGCTCTGCTTGCACGTTCCATCTCACAGTCTGGGGATCGGATCCTGTTCAAGAAAATTACATTTCAAAATTTACAAACCAACAACGATTTCACTTTCCTGGGAACCAAACAAAACTTCGGATTAAACTTACCCAGGCCTAGAGGATCAAAACCAAAGTCTCTGGGGAGGCTGCAAAACAGGGATTCAAGAAATTAACACTTTAGAAACGGGAAATTAAAATTCAACATTACATTATTTTGTTACCGAACCTGCTGTCGAGCCATGGAGGAGCCGAGGAGGGGTGCTGCCGGGGAACCAGAGGGGTCTGTCTGGGTCGGCAGCGACACAGACTGGGGTCAATCTTCCGGTTACTGGCGCTGTGTACTTTCTTACTCTGAGTTTCTTCCCACTGAGGAAAGGAGTCTTAGTTGTCCTCAAAAATGAGTCAGTCTTTTGGTAGGAGAGGGCGACGGCGGCAATGGTAGAAGAGGCGCAAACAGAGGTCATTTTGGGCTGACATTGATGGCGTGAGTGCTGGAGGGAGTGCAACGTTAGTTACGAAAATCTGTTAATGAATATCAGGGCTTATCTAGAAGGATGGGAGAATCTCCATCTGGTTTATGGACTGCCACGTGGCACGCAGAATCTGATATCAGCACCCTTCAATTCCAACTGCTGTGACACCTAGGATTTGATCAGAAAAAGTGTGGCTCAGATTGCATGTTCATCTGACCCACATATTAGAAAAAAAAAAACTCCATAGAAATAAACGAGAAAAGATAGGCCCAAATGGCAAAACCCATTTCACCTTATGCAGGGAAAGTTGTGTTACATCCCTAAAATTTTATTTTATTGGGCTAAGCCCATAAAGAGACTATTATTATAGGGGAAGTCCAAAGGAAAGCCCAATGAGCCAATGCCGGTTGCTGGATTGATAGGGGAATTGGTGATTTTTTTTTTCTTTTGTTTTTTTATAGAAGGAATAATCTGAAGAGAGAGAGAGAGAGAGAGAAAAAAAAAAAAGTTAGAGCACTAATCATATATAAGTAAAGGGATGGTTTGATTGGTGAAAGATGATTTTTAAGGTAGCATGATGGATGCCACAACTTCCTTCTAATCTTCATATTTGGGGCAAAATCATAATTCCCATGTGTGATTTTGAGTCAATTTGAAGTAGATAAAAGCGGAGGCCCACAACCCACATATTGCATGTCTTCATCCATCAACTAGCTCCTCTAACCCTATTGCAAAATCGTCTTTCATATCTCTTCCCAATGTTAATAGGGTGTTTTCTTTTGGTTCACTTTTTTCGCTTTGAGAAATTAAATCCATGCTCAAATTTGTCGTTTTTAATCCATAATTATATACATATCAAATTGAGAGACAAAGGTTTTTTTTTTCTTTTTCTTTTTCTTGGGTTATACAATAAAAAATAATATTTTCTTATCTTTTAACTTATTTCACTTGCATGTTATGCAATATAAATTTAAAATTTTTATTTTTACTAAAAAAAGATTGCTTCAAGATGAAGAATTTATATTTGAAACCTTTTAAAGTCTCAGTTGGTAAAATTATCACTAGATCAATGTTTCAATAGCATATACATAGCAAGATTTCATGTTTTACATATTTGTGGTGAATACATTATGTTCGGACCTAAATAAGCCCCTATATTTTCCCCCACCTTTATCAAGAGGAAAAACAAAAAGAAGGTTGTTGCAAATTGCAATGTTTCAAAGTAGGATTGGGTACTATCAAAATGATATGGTAACATTGTTCGTTGCCTCATTGGGAAGGAAGTTGAAACATGGATATTACAGGTGAAATAATTATGTTTTAAACCTTTTTTAAGGAAGAGATCCATTGTTGGTTTACCAAATCTAATGCAATTAGTGAAAGTTTAAGGTCTATAAACAATATCAAAGCTTGTTCCTTTTGTCCAATCCTCCCTTCTATTTTACTTTTACTTAACAAAAACTTTGGATTCCTTATTTTTCTGCCTTTTTCTCATGCAGGCATGTGCTTGCTATTAGTATTATAATCATGTCTTGTTAGAATGCAAAACATTCTCCTAATTATGCTCCCATCAGAATTATAGAATGCAAAACATGCTTTTTGTTCCTGGGGAAGATCTTCCATATAAAAGATCACCAATAAACCAGCTAATAACAATTTAAAACATCATTAAAAGTGGCCATGTTACAGACTCATGCGGCCCCAGTGAATGAGAAAATGATCTTTTTTATTATTTTAGAGTAATGAAACGTGAACAATTTTATGACATTTCTATATAATTTTTAATTATTATTATTATTATTATTATTATTATTTTCTCTTAGATTATATAATAGAAAGCAACCTTTCTTTATCTCTTACTACATCCAACCCTCATGTAAGGTTGTTAACAAGTAATTTGTTAGTAATTCATGAGTTACTTAAGTTGGATTCGAGCATGACAAGCTCAACATATTTAGTAAACTTGTCAAGCTCAAGTTTTTAGTTTCTATAATTACTTATGAGCTACTTACGAGAACTAGATTTAAAATTAAAATTATATTATATATTTATTATTAAATTAAATTTAAATATATAATAACTTTCAAATTTAATAAGGTAGAAAAGATAACTTAAATAAATTGCATATTTTGTATTATAACTATTAATAAAAATGTTCAAATGAAGTTTATGGTTTTTTTTTTTTTTTTATTGATGAACTTAATATGTTTAAGCTTTTGGTACTATAATATTTTGAAAAATATAGAAAAATTTATAATTAAATAACCAGTTATTCACTACTAAAATTTAAGTTTTTAGCAACAATACATCAGCAACATGAGATCCTTTGTTGCTGAAAATTTATATCAGCAACAAGGCTTATGTTGCTAAAAGTTGCATGGTACATTTTTTTCCTAAAAAGTTGCTCCACTTTCAGCAACAAGGAGTATGTTGCTGAAAGTAAATTTCAGCAACATACCCCATGTTGTTGATATTTTTCGGTAACCATTTTCCTGTGTAATTGAGCCCCACTTTCAGCAAGATATCTCTTGTTGCTGAAAATTTATATCAGCAACAAGGCTTATGTTGCTGAAAGTTGCATAGTACATTTTTTTTCCCTAGTAGTTGGTTAAGGCCATTATATATATGCCTTTAAGTAAAGAGTCGAATCTAGGAACAAAGATTCGACTCTCAAGCATTTAAGAGTCGACTATATATGGTGGATATTCGACTCCCAAATTTCAGAGAATTGAAAACGTTCAAAGTGCTATGTATAGTCAACTCTTCTTAATGAGAGTCGACTCTTGTTGAAAAAGAGTCTACTCTTAATTTAAAAAGTCAAGTATTGACAAAAAATTGTGATAACTTTATATAAAATGTCATATGTATATTCACATATTTTTTTAGATAAAATCAAGTTTTAAATTAGTTAAATATATTAATAAATAATGTAATTATATT